GGCACAGGCTCTTCTGTAAATGCTACCAGGTTCATGTTACTAACCTGGGGAAACTCTAGCAATCAGTCTGCCCTGGTTTACTTTGCATTAAAAAAAAAAAACCAACAAAAACTAAAAAAAGCTCATATAAAATATCAAGAGTTGATTTGACATAGGAGCAAATTCTGCCACTTTCATTCCACTGCAACTAAACTAATTAAAATCACTACTAATAATATGAGATCGAATTGGACTGACAGTTTTTCATATCATGCAGTGCATCACACAGGGTCAGCCTTGTCCTGCACAAAGCACGTGGCTGGCAGCATGACACCAAGGAAACTCAAAGTGCTGATGCATGGATCCCATACAACATCAAATTACCCACAGATGAGAGCTATGGAGTGCCTTGGGTCTCCTGCTCATCTAAATGCGAGCTGCTACTTGCTCAGCTTCTAAAGAATTTTCCTGTGTGATTTGGTAGGAGACTTAATCTTTTGACCTCCAAAGACATGTAAGGTTAAGCGTAGAAAAATACTCATCCTTAGTTTCAGCTGTTATATCAAATTCAAGAAGAGACGCCACTTGAGCTCTTGTTTCCCTAACTCCTCTGATACTTTGTAATATCCCCTTACTAGACAAAACATTTGGAAATAATTCATGAAGGAGACCTTTAATAAATGAAACTCTGCCTTGCCTAAAAAACAATAAATCTAATAAACAACACGTTGGTCTGGGACTATATGGAGAACTTGCTGAGAATTAACATGCAACACATACAAGCAAATAACAATTGAATAATATGGGATCAGGACCCTAAGTGTGGCTGAAACATGAGCTATTAAATCTATATTCTTTCTGGCTTGACTATCAAAACTGAATTCATTCAGCAGCAGTCCCCACTAGGATTTCACTGCTCAATATATTTTTATCACTATGCAGTTTGAGCAATATTTTTGATCAATTCCTACAATCAACATTTGAATGTGGTGGGTCATTATTTTTCTGCTTTCAAAACGACTTCTTTAAACCTTGTTAATCAATTTGCATGGTTTGAGTTACAGTACAACTTACACATCCAGCTATGCAAATAGCGAGAGCTGGAAAGCAGCTTACAGAGACACTTGGTTGGCATCACCACTTATGTGAAACTCCTTGCCAGGAGCAAATTTGGGTTAATTGTGGCAGGGTGAATTGTTAGGTGCCCTCTGCTAACAGATGCCTTGTTTCATTAGCCTGGGAGGCTTCGACCCCCCTGGTCCTTCCTGAGATTTCTCCACTGATAACACCTCCCCACGCAGAGCAGTGGCAGTTAAATTGTTTACTCCTGCTTGAGATGGTGGAAAAATACTGATGTGCCTCCTCAGGGTCACCTTGCTTGCTAGGAAAGTTTTGATAATTAGAGACAAGACTGTTCGCCTTTCTCCATTATCCTGGGAGCTGCAGATGAGTTATGTTAAAACGACTGGATCTTGTTTTATCCAATGAAGCAGCACCCCATCACACCAGCTCTGCACGTTGTGTGCTCTCTGCTACAGCAGCACACAGTATCTGCAAAAAGTGGGAGACTCTCCTCAAGAAACGGAGATAACTAATGAGGAGAACATAATGGGACACCTGGGTATCTTTACTAATGAGTCCTATAAACTGTAGATCTACAACTGGGCTCATTCTCTTAATGTACTGATTTCTGTAATGTTGATTGCTGCACTGGCAGGGCAGTTGATGATGCACAAATGAGAACAAAACCAAACCACAGTGTCACAGTGCTGCAAGTTGCCCTGTCTATCACTGCATTTCACCTGCTTTCAAGCACAAGAAACACCAAATCTGGGGGCTGTTGAGCCAGGACAACTGCTGCTGAACTAAAGGATGGCTGTCTCCACAGTGAAGCCTGCAGAAAGCCGCTGGATGGTATGCCAAGTCTCCTGAGGACGCCAGTTCAGCAAGCAAGGAGGCTGGACGCACCAACTCACCATGCAAGGGAAGGGAACACAACAAGGGAAGATGAAAAAGGGGAAAAAGAAGCAACACTGCAAAGTGATTCATGCAGGGACACAAGGGAGGACAAAGCCTTGCACTTTGGACAGAAGGATGATGTTGGTAGCAAGGGCCTGGCGGCCGGAAGATCTCGCGCTGTACAGAAAGATAGGGACCCTCTCCCTATAGCCAATAGCGTTTAGCTTCTAACGTAAGCAGATGGAAGTTGCGTTGTAAACTAGGGCTATATAACGCTGTGTTGCGCACTAATAAACGCCATTTGCCATCCACCACATTGGTGTTAGTGTGTTAATGGCCTGAGCGGCCTGGAATTGGTCGCCGTGTTGTTCTTTGAACCAGGTCGTCACGCCTCGATAGGCAACAGGATGAATGTAAGAGATGGAAGATGCATATTCTTGACCCATATGGGTGTCCCTACTTGATTCACTTTCTTAGGAGATACAACTTCTAAGAATACATCTAAAATTCCATCTACAGGGGGTGTGCATGGTTTTATTTAAAAAAAAAAAAAAGACACATCTTCTCTCTCTCTTTAAGCAAGGCAAATAACACTACTGTGTTAAATAACATCGCACTTTAAAAACTGCAAAGTATCAGTTCCAAATCAAACTTAAGAAGTGGATAGCCCTGCCATGTCCTGCTATGCTCCTGCTCCCACAGAGGAAGTTAATGAGGGAAAGTTTCCAAAGGATTATTGAGCTTCCACTCTAGGTTACTGCTGGGAAATGGAAAAGATGGACAGACTGGTAATACAAGCCCATAAATTGACTTCTCTGGAAATCCAGTGTGAGAGCAGATGCTCAGAGTATTGAAAGTAGGCTACAGAGGTTTTCATGTTAGACAAAGCTTTTTAAACCTGGCCTTCCCCTTAGGCAAATTCACTTTGTTTGTGCTTGGACTTCTCAAAGCAGAACAGATCGATAAAAATTATGTTCTTCCCCATCTGATCTACAGTCACTATTTCAGGTGCCACAGCTGCAGCTATAAATGTCTTTGCAACTACATCTGGGAGAGATTTTTTTCCACAAGGGAATTTTTAGGATGCGACATCTCATAATTACTCAGTTCACTATTCTGTTAAATAATCTGTCAGAGAATGAAAAAACTCTTTGGCATGCGGGAGAAGCAGTTTATCTTGCTTTAAGTTACATTTACACATTCTGCCTATCCTTGTAGTACACAATGAACATAGCTCTGAGTCACAGGATCGCAGAATTGAAGGCACTTTTGGAAATTGGTGGCAATTCACTTTAACTCGGTACGGTTAAAGGTCTCTTCGGCCAAATGGAGAATAACTAGATTTACCATCTACACAAGTCAGAAATGAAAAGTTCTTATTGTCATTCCAAACACACAGTATGCATCAGTAAATGCAATAGTTATGCATGTAATCCATTTAGTAATGGCTTCTTGTTCAGTAAATTACATATTTACTGTTTGTTTTCATTGTAATACCCAGAAAACCATTTATTTGTTTAAATGCTGCTACTTACTCTCAAAGCTTTTGTTTTCTAAATAGCTGTAAGCAAATATAAAATATCGTCAATTAGATTAATAATAGAAACGAAATGGTCCAGTGAGCTGAAATACTACGGAAACTGCAGATTTAGGAGCTTTCACCATAGTGACTTCACATCTGAATGCAGAAACAAATTCATTCCTACATTAAATCTTTCTTTTTAAAAAACTTGGTATAAACCAGAATACAGAAAGCTGCAGCAGGTATTTTGAAAGAGCATGGTTGTGTATTTTCCTGAGTTCGTTCTCTCCAGCTGGGAGGACTCAGGCTGTGTCCTCAGGGACCCATCTCACCCACACACCTCCACACCGCCCAGTTCCCCACCAGTGCAGGACACACATACACAGGCTTGTATGGAAACACACCAGGAGCCTCCTTCGGCTACATGCTTCTCCTTTCTCCTCTCCTCCTCCTTGCTGCCAGCTGGGAAGGAGTTGAAGCCTTGATTAACAAGCAGTAAGGACTACCCATGTCAGCCCTGTTCCCATACGCCAGCACAATTCCCATGTGTCTCCCTCATTTCCCAGTGGACATCCCCATGACATACAAGAGGGACCCGTGGAGCCCTCTGGAGCCACTCTTAAAGGGAAGAAGCAGTACAGCCTCAGTGGGGCGTGACAGGTCCCTTAGGATAAGGCCACCCGCTGAGAAGGCAAACAGCTAATATTCAACAGGCAAATATCTAATATTCAACAAGAGACAAGTTCTACAATCAATGGGTCTGTTTTAAACAGGCAAGACAGACTCTGGATGGTTTTCATGCAGAACCATCAGCTCTTCTACATTCTTCTGGCTCTGAGGATGACTCCTGCCTCAACACTAGTGCTGACCACTCAAGCCTCACCATCTGCTACACCTTTCCCAACCCCATACCTGCTAGCGAGGAGTCTGCATTAGGCTTTTTCTCACCCACAGCTGGCAAACCAGACACCGTAGCAGGGTGATGGGTTGATTAACCTCGAACGCCCCCATAGCTCAGACTTGTCATGACTGTGGCTAGATAGATGGTGCATCCCTATTTCTTTGCATACTCAAATCAGACTATTTTTTTTCTGTAAAGCCAATTCACTACAAGCGAAAATTTTGCTTCCTTGTAGAGACTATTTACAGGTGTTATTCTGGGCTAGAATACAGACAAATGATAATCCCAGTGTGAAGGCTAATGCAGAAATCCTCCTGAGAGACTAATACAAAAGGATGTGCATTTCTTCCACCAGGCTGTTTAAAAGATGTCAAGCACACAGATGCCCTTTTTTTTCTGCTCAGACACTGTAACTGTGAGCAGTGAGCCATACTGGGCAGAAAGAGCATTCCCAACGGCATAAAAGAGGCAGGGTTTGTTTCCAGAGTAGTGTCTCTGGAGAGTCAACATCTCCATCTCATGACAACCACTAGCCTCCTGCAGTCCCAGCTGATGTTAGGCAAGACTAGTTAATATTCGAAGCCAAACAGAAGGTAAATACATTTAAAACCACCAGCATTTCCATAGAGATCACAGTACCTAAAATAGCCACCACTTCGTCGTCCTGGATGACTTCTAGGGATCCTGAGACCACAAAGCAAAGAGCATCAACACTTTCCCCAGCATGATAGATGAGGTCCCCTGGGGCACAATGGATCGTCTGGAACTCCACAGCCAGGGCTCGCAGGCAGCCATCGCTGGCCAGTCGGAAGGCGGGGTGCTCGTTAAAAACTTTCCGGTTTAGGTGCACGCAAATATCTGCTCTCATGTCCTTTGGGCAAATTGAGAGAACCTGGTTAAAAGAAAGATGAAAAATAATCAGCTAGGAATATGACACCAGGCCAGCACGTGCTTTATGAAATAACTGAATGGAGAGATCTGAAGATCCATCCACCCAGCTATTTCACAAAGCTTTAGGTGGGAATTTTATCTTGAATTGGGGTAGTCTTTTTCTGCATGTCTGCTGCTTTCACTGCAGCTGAAAGGGTGATGTGTAAGAAGGGACTACTCTGTTGCACTGTTCTCATTCCTAACAGTATTCACACTTGTTTTCCAGAATTGCAGGTGGCATTACTATGTCATGTTTGTGGATATTCCTCCAGATTGGGTACCCAGACTATCTGCCTGGTGCTACGCTGAATCCCTGCAGGAGCACAGAACGGACGCTCAGAGCTGAAGGAGCTTGAAGATGTGCAAAGACAGACCAGTCACAATAGAAAACACCACATTTCGCTCACATCCAGAAAGCCTAGTCTTCAGTCTTCAGAAGACTTCATGTTGCTGATCACTTACCAACGTGTATCCAAACACACCTGGGGTTTTGTTGCAGTGCTGTACAGACATTTAATAAGTAATCTGCCCTGGAGGGCTTACAGACTAGAAAATCCAAAGAGTTTGAGGTTAGAGCAAAAAAGAAAGTATTATGAAAATTTATGAAATGTAAAGTAAAGGTGAGTGAAAAACTGTCCTGTGAACATGAAGATGTCTCCATAGCAGATCAGTTAAGACTTTCAATTAATTTCGTACCTTAAATTGCTTTCCCTATTGAAATAATAATATAAATACACCTGAAGAAAGTGAAAATCTGTGGGTATTGTTAGGTTTGTAAACTGTGTGTTTAATATTTGTACATCCTCCTGAGTGGACTAATGCCCTTATAACTCTAAAACGCATGGTAGCTAATTGCACTGGAAAACATATAAAACCTTTTAAAGTTTTCGTAGGATAAATAATAGAAAAGGGCATGAGATTACGAGCACTCTGAATGTCTCATACAAAGAAGACTGCAGATCAATAGTACTGATTGATTTCTCATTGTATGGAACTAATCTGGCAGCTTGCTCTGCAGACAGTGTGAGAGACAGGGACATTGGGTCAATGTGCTGATATCAATGAATATTAGCAAACAGAGGGAGACACTGGTAACCCTGACTAAGCTTTGGGGCAAATGGTCATGTTAATATAGAAGTAAAGCTATAATTTTCATTTCTGTTTAATGCAGAAGAGGTATAAAACATATTATTCTAAAGTACTATTCTACAGTACTATGTTAAAGTACTATGTTATAGTACTTTACTACTGTAAAGTACTGTAAAGGGCCTAAAGCATAGAATGGGAAAAGAGTAAACAATTTCTAATTTAATAGTAACATTTAGTGCTTTTCTTATTTCAGTAGTTCCAAGTTTCTTTGCGGTCAAAGATGCAAAAAGGTGAAGTAGAAGTTATTCTCCTACCCTCTGTACTATGACAGTCTGAGGCTAGAAGGGGCTACTGCAACCATCTGCACTCATGATTATTGTATCAATCCCAGAATAGCTGGTAAAATTATAGCAGAGAGAGCCTTGATTTAATGTTTTCAAATTATATAGGGTAGTTGTTCCAATGGACAGCTACTCTCTCTATTAAAACATTTGCTGTTTCTGAGCTGGTTTGCTTTTTTTTTTTAATTTTCAGCCAACAGCCAGGGGATTTCATCATGTTGCTCAGATAAAAGACCTATAATCATAGGAAATCTCTTCCACTTGTAGGCGTTTATAGAATATATAAACAAGAGAGATGATGCTTCCTGTGCCTAGCACTATGAAGCACAGTATCTCTTTGGAAACTTCACCACAGCATGAGGTTTTCTCCCTTACCACAACCTTCTCAGATCTAACAGATAATTAGGTTTTATTCGATTTAACACAGTCAATTTGGTTTAATGCTATTTTTCTGTAACAAATTTTGGTACAGAACACAATAAAATACCCTGCATAAGTCTGTTTTATCATTAAAATTAATAATAAACACATTTGACAAGACATATTCTCCATAAACTATCATTTGCATTAGTAATAATGTCTTGTCTGAGTCACTGTTCACCATAACCTGTATTACATTTCCATTATTTTATTAGCGGCAAATATCAATTTTACAAACTTATACTTACCTGAGTGATTCCATTCACCAGGATAAATATTGTCACACCTTAGGTTTTCCAGTAAAAAGCAGAAATTACTTTTAAAAGTGTGATTGATTCACCTCAGCCCTTCTTCTGGATCAAACAGAAAGCTCATCTTTATCACAGTAAAATAGAAACATGCCACTTTTAATCTTTTCAATAGTAATTTAATGAAAGATCTTGCTGTCTCTTGTATCATGATTGCTGATTTTTAACATTTTTGTCTACTCTTGGGCCTAAATCATGGTTAGAAGTTTTTTACATCTGCTTAATACTTTCAGTAATGTAAGTGCTTTTGACTTAACAAGGCCATGAGCTATGAATTCTCAAACACTGCTCTTAAGAAAAATGTGTGTATTCACACATGACTGATTTCCAAATTTTATCTTTTAAGCTTCCAAAGTGCAGGAAAAATTGGTTAAACTAGTGCAGAGGTTGTGACTGTAAGATTCGGAGATGTACCAGGACACTCGGGTTTTCAGAGTGTAAATTAACTGTGTCCCTCAAGAATAAAAGCCACTTGGATTCAAAGCAGCATATTGTCTCCTCACAGAGTTAAATGCAGAGTATTAGAAGTGAGCACTCAGAGAATTACTCTTTTTATACATACAACAAACATATCTATCATCACACACTGTAATATGAAGAGACAGAAAAAAATTCCATTGCATAGAAAAAGCCAGTCTTAGAAAGCATAATTCAGGAATTTTCTGATGTTGTGATAAAGTGATTCTCCTAATGACATATTAATGCATGGGCATATATGGAGATATATGGAGATATCACTCAACAGCTAGCACACGAGTAAATGAGTAATGATCCAGGAGTTAGCCAGAAACCAGCATTCTTTACTCCAGTTTTCTTGTCTGCTACGCTGCAAGTACTGAGAACGGAGAATAAAACAGATGACAGCTAAAAGAAATACTTCATATTAAAAGATTTGACAAAGGAGCTTTGACTGATAAAGAAAAACACAGACATTTGTAGGGGAAAAAAAAGAGCAGAGATGGAGAATCTCAATTTTCAGCTACATCTTTACTGTATGTTCCAAGCACAGGAAATCATGAGCTCCATCCTGACTTTGCAGCACTTCTTTTTGTGTTTAAAAACACCAACATCTTCAGTTCAGAAGGAGTCTCACAGATGCTAGCAGCATCTCTACTGTACTATAGAAAGGGGTTGTTGGTGACACAGATTACAGAATGCAGTAATTTTCCTGCTTCCAAAGAAGACGCATCATGTGATATACAAACACACAGAAGCATTTGAAAGCTAATAATAAATAGTCCAAAGATCCTAAGAGCAGAAAATGAGAGAATGAGCACTTCAAATTCAGATAAATACTCTTCTGAAAACGATCCCTCGTTGTTAATCCAAGACTCTGACATTGTGAAATGCTCTCACTGAGATCTCGACATTTTCAAGGCACCGTGCCACAAAAAAGACACAACTAGCAGCAACATAGTTGTAGGTGAGTACATTCGCTGTACAAATGCACACACATGGGTGAAAAAGAGAAACGTAGTTTAAGGGGGAGGATACCTTCTAATGCTCAGCATATTGTTTTGCTGTTAGGGAAATGCCTCCCATACTTTATGTCAGAAGAACCAAAGTTAAGCTGGGAGATTTGTTCCCGCCTGTGTATTCTTTCGGCAGCGTATCAAAAATCACCAAGGCAAATTTCTGAAGGGGAAATTTCCTTAGAGATTTCAAGACCTTTCTTGGTGAAACGTGTAGTTTATAAGCAAGGCAGGATATTAAGGTTGCTGACTGCAATGCTTTAGTAACTGATGTTTTTGGAGCATATGACCTGGAGCAGGCAGTCTGCACGGACCAGATGCTTACGCTGCTATAGAAGTTGCTCCATAATAAATCTGCAGCCACAGACTTAACTGACAGCTTTCCCATATGCATCCAAGCAGCATGAAAGAACAGAACCCACTACATTTCAACACAAAATCAGAGGAAAAAGTCAAAATCTACCCAGAGGAAAATCTTTGCTGGCTGTATAAGCTGTGTTTCTACCAGAAACGGAGCAAGGCTCCAAGCCACACATGGACAATACGCACATATCCATGAAGACCTGAACCACTACAAAGCTGAGAGAGGAGAAAGTAAAGCATAGAATGACATTTATCACTTCGCTTCTCTGCAGGGAAAATTAAGTCAGTATAAAACAATTGCTGAGCTCTGCCATCACCACCTGGCACCCAGCTGATACAACCCCTAACACAACGACACCCAGTGCAGAGATTCAACACAGCTATCATCTCTGGAGCAACCTATGGTACACGTAAAATGCTGACAGTGAGTGAAAAGCTTAAGGTTGTGAGTAGAGACTGGGAAAGGCAGTAACCAGCTCTGGAAGACTCACAGAGAATTGGCACAAAATGCCTCATTATCTTTTCAGCTTGAGATCTGTAAGAGGGGAATCAAATTCCCAAGGAGGTGCCATCTGATTGTTTTCCTCTCCCATCCGTTTCCCCAGCATGCCCAGGCAGTTTAAGATAAGCCCCTTGAACAGCTCAAAGAACTCTACAGGGAGCAGAGATTATGAAGAACTCAAAGAAAAGCAAATGAATCGAAACAAAACCTGTATAGATTAAGAGTGTGTCCAATCAGTATCTTTTAGGAGGGGTTTAAGTATTTTTAAAAGAATCTTCCCCAGCTGGAAGACACTACAGGATGGCTTAGCAAATACTACAGAATCTGTTAAGACTTGTTAACAAAAAGGGCAGAGGCCAGTGAATCATGAACGCTATATATTTGCAATTCTCTTTCAGCACACAGGATTCTCACTTTCTCAGGGTTGTATTTAGGGGATATATTGACTGATATTCCTGCAAAGAGCT